TCACAGAATTTTTATGAGCTGTCTCATTTTATTGATGTTTACTTTGAAGGCTGAGTTTATTTACGCAAGGCATGTCTGTGAGACTTGCAGCGCATACGGGGAAGCATATGGGACTGATGTTTGATTTAGATACCGGTCGAAAACGTTTCAAGTTTTAAAAAATTCCGACATCGATTATCGCACGTTTCTACATATTTTTCAATTAACTTGCAGGTTCCTTAGCCGCCAGATTTGATCCATGCGAAACCGGATCATGCTTGCCGGGTACCGGTAATTTGCTAATTGGTCGAGAAAATCGATTGACAGCTTCATCAACTTGCGGACTTCGAGGACCGGTTTGTAGAAAATTAAAAAAAAATTAACCGCTTAAATCAAAATCGCAAACGAAAGTTTTCTGAAGGAAGGCAGAATTTACTGATCATAGCACAGAAGGATAATTTTTTGAGACAAGAGCTAGGTGAGAGAAAACGGAGTCGTCGACTCCTACACTCGAAGATGTAGCTCTTTCTTCAGAATAAATAACTAAATTTTAGCTGATAAAGATAACAACTCTAATATGAAGATGCTGTACAATAAAAAATTTGAAACTCTGGATTTGGAAAATAAGTTTTTCTTCAAGCTAATAGCACCAAAAAATTTTTTCTTCACATTAATTTGCACCACAAAAAGTTGACAATAACATTGCCAATTTTCCTCTCAACTGTAGGTACTCTCAAGTATCAGATGTAATCATTCACCTTTTTCGACTCTAATTTTTGATTTAAATTAAAAATTATTTGCAGGAACGATTTTGCGTCATCACAAGTTTGGAAAAACATAAAAACTGCTTCAAATGTGATTCCAGTAACTCGAGCAAGAACCTGAACCATAGAATCGAAAATATCGTTTCGAAAGCCCATGCCAGGTAAAAATTAGATAATTTTTTCTCAGATTCCGCAATTAGCCATCGATTTCTCTGTTATATAAATTCCTAAAACCCACAGCCCAAAAAAAGTCACTTGGTGGCAGTCTGAAAATGGGGTAGAAAATGTTTCCATTCAATTGAACTTGGAAGCTGAGTTTTACTTTACTCATTTGTACATAAAATTCAAAACTTTCCGTCCAGCTGGGGCCTTAGTGGAACGATCTTTGGATTATGGTCAAACGTGGAAAGTTTGTATTTTTTGTACTTTCTGAAAACCAGCTCATTTTTCTGATTTGTAGTAAATATGTTTCAACACTTTCTTCGTTAGGTATACGGATACTTTGCTCATGACTGTGATAAAATCTTTCCTGGAGTGCCTAAAGAATCACAGACCAATTTGAGTATTCCCTACTGTAATGAAAGGTATTCGTCTGTCACACCAATATCTAATGGTGAGGTATGTGATCATTTTTCCTGTTAATTCGAAGGTTGAAGGTATTCATTAACACACTACTTCTGACAGCCAAATGTACGAAAAAATTTCTCTTCCAGTTTCAAAAAATTATTCATGGAAAATGACGATGACTGTGATTTAAGTGCATTTAAAATTAGATCAGTTAGTTCGAATTATTAAAAATTGTTTTGTGATGAATTGTTCTACCGATGGCTGGACGACGGGAGATTTCCCGATCGTCCAGCTCTGGCTCATCATCGAACATAGCAGCGGTGCGGCGGATGCTCGGCGTCGGCGTCGCCGCCGATGCCGCACATCCGCCACACGCTACAAGCTCGTGCCTTCGATGCACCTTTCAGCCAACGTCAGCGCGACACTGGCGGATGGTGTCAGCTTTCTTGCTGACACCACACGCTCGTGTCCGCCATTAGACGTGTGCCTGCGATTTCGGCGAACGAGTACCGTTACCTCTAACGGTAGCTCGTCCGCCCGAATTCGCTGCACATCCGCCGCCCGCCATTTTGGCAAGCGCGTGCCCGCGGATTTGGCTGACGAAGCATCGACACTTTCTATCGATGCTTCGCTCACCAAATTCGCGGAACCGCCGCCATCTTTGTGTCGGCCATCTTTTATGTCGATATTCGACTGTCCAATTCTCCCTCGACTTCGGCCACCAATTCATTATGTTTTTTCCGCGATCGAGACCACTGCTCTCTAAGTTTTAGCACTCGAGTGCTCCAGTGTAATAAGTCGAATATGTGAATACAATTATTTATTCAAAGTCCGCCGCCTTTTTGTTTTATGAGTGACAACCTTCCTTCTCGTTTCGAAAGTGCATGAAAGCTTTGGTAGCCCCAAGCCTTCTGCACATGAATATTCAGCAAAACCAATTTTTCATTACTAATTCTATGAAAGAATTTGTAAGTCAACCTTATACCTAATTGACATTTTCCACCTGTCACATTTGAATTGTAACAGTCACACAGCAGTCCTGCTAAAAAGGATTCATTTTTCGAGATGAAGAAAAGCATCGATAGCCTCATACAAGCAGTTTGCAATAAAAATGTGTCAACTAACAACCTTCAACCCTACAAATTACCGAGATCCGATAAAATGTATTTCAATTTTTTTTCTCCACTCTTCAGCTGATTTTAAAAATCTTAGCTCCCACTCTGGAAAATATGGATCCTTATTCGGAAGAAATTCAGAATCTCGTTAAAATAACCAATCTACGAATTAATTTCACCAAGTTACATACCTTGGGGGATGATTTACTGGATAATCGTACAGATATCAAAGTGAGTAGGTATTATTGTTATTCAAAAATGTGATGATCAATGTCATCAATCTGAGCCTGTTTCAGGAAAAATATTACTACGCCATCTACGAAATGATCATTGGTGGATCATGCGCTTGTTATGGTCACGCCAACCGATGTGTACCTCAAGAAGGTGTGGAATCGAAACCGAATATGGTGAATGGTAAATGCGAATGTACTCATCACACCAAAGGATTGAACTGTGAAAAAGTGCGAAGACCTTTACAACGATTTAGAATGGAAACCTGCTATTGGGAGACAAACAAATGCTTGTAAAAGTAAGTTTCGATCATAATGTATGGTAAACCGTTTCTATCTCCTTTTCATGAACACAAATTAAATGAACTCGATGTAAATGGTCAGGCTGGATCGTAAAGGTTTTAGGCCTCAGTTTCAAAATTCGGATAAATATTGTTGAAAACATTTTCGAGAAAGTTTCAAATCTACCTTCACCCTGAAAAGATTTTTGGCGAAACTTTCGAGTTTTTATTTCACTTTGGCCAAAAAGTTTGAAATTTTCAGGAAAAATTTGATTTTACTCAAATACATGGGAAGTTTGGTAACTTTGGTCACCTTGGAACTATAAGTCATACACTGACAATCCAATTTTATTATATTTTCGTCCATTCGCATAAATAGGAGGGAAAAGACACTAAAATTGAGGTAAACCAATTTTTTGAGAAATCAAAATATTCAGTCATCATTTGTTCGATTTCTTGGATAAAAGTTCCATTTGGAAAAGTAAGGCTGCCTGCGAAAATGATCAATACAACTAAAATTATGCATTACATGACCAGAAAGGCATCTGCTACGTCCATATATAATTATTAGTGCACTGAAAGAAGCGGCTAACAATAAGGTACCAAACCTCGATGTCAAAACATGACTCACGTTTTTACTTAGTTGTAAAAAGCATGACAGTTCCAGGGTTACTTTATAACTGTAATAAAATAGGGTTTTAGTACCATTGTCATAACGTTATAACATTTCCCACTTTTGATTAAAAATAAATTAACATCCTCAGAATTCACCAACTTGCTTCTTTCATTCACACATTTTCCTCAGATGTGTTTGACTCCTGATGTGTAATTATTTAACATAACTTTGTATTTTTCTCTCAGAATGTAACTGTAACAATCATGCCACTAGTTGTCACTTTGATTCGTCGGTATTTGAGTCAACTGGACGACTTTCTGGTGGTATTTGTGACAACTGCCTCCACAATACCATGGGTAAAAAACTGTGAACAGTGTAAACACTTCTTCTATCAAGATCCCAGCAGAGATTTTGGTGACCCATACGTTTGCTTGCGTAAGTATTGTGAATAAAATTTCACTTATTTGCGAAAATACCATGTACCTCAAACCTCTTCATTCCTTCCACAGAATGCGACTGCGATCCTGAGGGTTCTTTGGACGATGGTATTTGTGATTCAAGAACTGACCCTGCCAATGATCTAGTTTCTGGTCGATGTCACTGTAAAAAAAATGTCGAGGGCAGACGATGTGATACGTGCAAAAATGGTTTTTGGAACTTTGCCAAAGAAAATCCAGAAGGATGTCAAGGTAAGTAATACACTAGATTTTCAGGCAGTTGTTAACAGTAGAACTACCAAGTGCTGATGCATTCCTCGAAAGACCAGTTGGTGTCATAATGACACCACCTCGACAACATGCCACAAAGGACGAAGTGGTATCATATATGACACCATTCAGGATTTCTCAAACAACTATAGAAAATTTCAAGTCTTTTTTATACAAAACTACATTCTACAGCAACCAAATAAGGCTAATAAGATCTACTGAAGAACATTTTACAAGAATTAATTCAATAGAGAACTGGCGAGGGAATCACTTTAAGATGAATTTTTCCTATAAGATGTCTTTTCTGGTAAACATTGATAACGGTGTCATATGTGACACAACCTAGTTTTTTGAGGAAGTTACTCAAATTTTTCCGTTGGTATCATACATATATGACACCACCTGGTACTGTTAGTATTAACATTGTACAAAGTTAATTTATTTTCTCCTTCGAATACCAACAGCATGTTCCTGTAATATACTTGGGACTTATGGAAATCAAGGCTGTAATAAGGTAAATGGCGAATGCACTTGTAAAAGAAATGTCGTTGGTCGTGATTGCAATAAATGCCTTCCCGAACACTGGGGTCTTGGCGATACCCCCGAGGTTGTCAACCATGCAACTGCGATCGAGGAGGATCTTATGATAATCAGTGTGATGTGGTTATAGGGCAGTGCAAGTAAGTCTTATTCTCAACCATTTCCTTGAAATTCGAGCAATTTCAAACTAATTTCCAATTATGTGTGCAGATGCCGTCCGAATATTTCAGGAAGAACCTGTGCCACGGTTGAGCAACAATATTTCCTTCCATCGATTGACTA